GCTGGGTTTAGATGACCCCAGCTAGATACTCATCTAAGCTCCTCTTGAAGACCCCCAGGGTAGGGGAGAGCACCACCTCCCTTGGGAGCCCGTTCCAGACCTTGGCCACTCGAACTGTGAAGAAGTTCTTCCTAATGTCCAATCTAAATCTGCTCTCTGCTAGCTTGTGGCCATTATTTCTTGTAACCCCCGGGGGCGCCTTGGTGAATAAAACCTCACCAATTCCCTTCTGTGCCCCCGTGATGAACTTATAGGCAGCCACAAGGTCGCCTCTCAACCTTCTCTTGCGGAGGCTGAAAAGGTCCAGTTTCTCTAGTCTCTCCTCGTAGGGCTTGGTCTGTAGGCCGTTAACCATACGAGTGGCCCTTCTCTGGACCCTCTCCAGGTTATCCGCATCCTTCTTGAAGTGTGGCGTCCAGAATTGCACGCAGTACTCCAACTGCGGTCTGACCAGAAGCATCCTCAGCACCATATTTCTAGGTTTAGAGTGTGCGGAGTGGGAGTAGGTTGAAGAGGCCTGTTTTCTGGCAGCAATCAGGAGAGTAGCAAGGAGCCAGAGTAAACATACTCGGAGCATATTCCAAGAGCCTCCTACGTATGTAGAAGTCACTTAAGGGGATGTGGGTTTTCTTACACGTGTCAGAAATCACAAGGGATACTTAATGAAATGTTGAGGTTCAGCACTAACATGACCATGATGCCCATCTGTTATTCCAGAACAATGGAAAAGTTATGTGGGTTATATGAATAAATCAGGTACTATGTTGTCTATCTCCCTCCCCCAAAAACATGCAGACACAAAGGGTAGGCTGAGTCCAGGGAGACTAAGGACGCAGACAGAAAAGTCGCTCCCTGCTGCAACTCATAGTGCTTTGCAGGAAGTGCTTTGCTCCTTTCACCACTCCCATTCTGAAAAGAGCAACAGGTGGGTTGTTCCACAGACACAAGTTACAGAACGCGTTCTGTTTTGGAGCATGATCATTTAAACACACATATAATGAAGGTTCAGATTTTTGTGGGACTGGGCCCTTGTTAAAGCGGTCTACAGACATGCACTTCTATTTGGGTCACAGCTGTAGACAACTTTCAGGCGCCAGATCAGGCAAAAATTGTCATCTCTGTCTGCACCCTAAGGTTTAGATCCTGCAATCAGATTCAGCCATCCACAAAGCCCCACTGACTTTATTAGAGCTCAACATGGGAGAAATTTCTATTTCCGTGGCTGCACTTGCTGTAGTCTAATAGCACATATATTAAACAAAAATATTTCTATGATGAAAGTCTACAGGCATCATGTCTAATAACTTTTTAGTGTGTTGGTATTAAGGATAGCAATGGCCTATTAAAAAAATTCTTTCCATTAATTTTTAGTATCCAGCAACCATTACAAACATACTTGCAGTGCTTTAGATGACAGTGTTGTAAGGCAGAGAAAACCCTGCAAATGCAACTAATGCTAAGTGACTCCTTTTTTTAAGGAAGAATTTCGAAAATTTCTCAGATCCTACCAGTAGATCTTTTCCAGTTGTTTCTCAGGGTATGATGCTGACCAAAAAGGCAATGAAGCTAGCAACATATATTCAGAGCAGTAAGCTATCCTCTCTCTTTTTGTTAAACATCTGTTGGTGATCCCCTAAAAGAAAGTCTGTCTGCTAGCTGGCTGGCTAGCAAACAAACACAAGCTGAAACATCTGTGTGACAGATAATCATATACAGCTATGTTAGTCACTGATGGTGATCCATCTGTAAAACATTCCATATGCCAGTTGTTTGACATCAGGTGGTTTTCCTCAGAGGGGAATGCAAAAGAGAATGAGAACATGTCGACAGCACAGTTAAGGAGCATATTTTATTTTCTCATTGCTCCCCTTTCTTCTAAACTATCTCACTTTTATGTGGGCATTTTTCCCTTCAAATTGCTGTACACCACTGGTCCTGAATGCTGATAAGATTAGTGATACAAAACCCTTGGGTTGTCTTAGGGTAGTGTGAAACACCCTCAAATACTTATTAGGGTAACCTAATGAACGAAGTCATGCAAACATCTGTAGAAGGTTTATTTTCTTGACCTACTTTTGTAGTAGCTTGCATTATAATCTGTAATGCTACCATATTTGGCCCTGCACCATGTTAGTTAATGGAATATTGCTTTGGGTCTTCACTGG